TTTATTCTCTCTCTCTCTCTCTCTCTCTCATCTCGTCCTAGACTTTTCGACAGGGCCCTAAAAACGTTCTCATTAACGCTGTATGTCCCGACGTCGGTCGGTCGCTCGTGTTTGCTCAACGTCGGCGCCAATAACGTGTACGGAGAGAAGCGCAAGTCACAAAAGGCGATCGCCGCGTTAAAAACGCATGTTGGGACATGCGTGTGCGAGAAAATTGCCGAGTAATTCGAGGCGCTCGCTCGTCGATCTCGCCGATATAAACCGGCACACCGTCGACGTTCCGTATATATTCAATTATCCGTTCTTCTCTCTTTCTCTCTTTCATTCTGCATTCATTATCGCCATGGTAATGCATAATCTAACCCAAACCTATATCCCAGGGGTGAATTATTACTAATAAAAATGCATCCCCCCCTCGGACATGGGTTGGATTTTCGCGTTTGGTTGGATTTTTGCGTTTCTCTTCGATTTGCGAGTCCGACTGCCATTTTTAAGTTTCATATTCGTGTTCAGGAGGCAAAAATACATAAGAATTGGGTATTCTTACCCATTATTTCATATAGGTGGGTTTTCCGAAGGTTTACCTTATTTTCTTTCGGCAAAATTTCCAGCATCGTTTTTGAGATATCTTATTTTGTAATATGCCGATACAGTGCATTTGTGTGTTTCTTGATTCTTTGTATAAACATTACTCTTTGTATAAAAATTTTAGTATTTTTGTTAAATTTAATATTAACATTTTTATAATGAAATACTTTTGAGATAATCTTGAGTTGATGAAAATAAATTCCGGTATTGCATTGAAGTGTGTGTGCTTTCCGGTTGTAATATAAATTATTATTTTGTGTTTGATTACCATAGAGTACTTCATGCGAGGTATATTTCGATTAAATCTTAGCCAACAAGGATGACATGATTGAAAAATAAATCTAATTATCTTGAAAATGATGCACTTCTAAAAATCGTATTAAAGGAAAAAGATGCTTATTTTTTGACAAGAAATATCGATTTGTATCCATTCTGTATACAAATCTCACGTAAGCGAATAAAAGAATTTAAATAACAAAAAGACTAAACAGACAAAATAAAATTATAGCATGTAAAGTAATAATAAATGAACCATAGCATATAAAATAATAGTAAAATAAGATCATTAAAATCAATTACATAGATAAACTTTTTTGTTTTTTGAGCGGTTACAGTCACATCCATATACATGGTAAATATAATATAAACAGTTGTTGTTTGTTTCAACAATGAGGAAAGAATAACAGGAGTGAGTATATCGGTAATGGGGGTAGACTTATCGCGAACAGAGTAATACGTCATCGCAGCCATCTTGACCGTCCACTTTTTTGACGTTTTTCAGGGCCGTGTACAGCCACTTGTTGCCTTACTTGTTCCAATCTGCACTTATTTTGCGCATGATCACCGATTCTAAATAAGTGAGAGGAAGAGCCAGTATTAGGCTAAACAAATATTATTAATAAGTGTTAATTGTAAGATGATGGTGCATTGCCAGGCCTTTGAGATACTGACGTATACAGTATCTCTGTCATGCTGCAATTCGTTCCTAAGCGGCCATCTTGACCGTCCACTTATATATAGTCACTTCCGTTCGCTCGCCAAATGTGACCAAATGCTCACTCCTGTTATTCTTTCCTCACTGCGTTTCAAGGTAATTGAGCTAACACAGCGCTGAATCAGCGATGGCAGTTTCGAGATGCTGCATGCTGCATAGACCGCCATGCACTGCAGAACGCTCTGCGCATTACATGTACACGGTTCACGCTTGTGTGCGCATCCCCTCTACATGCTATGACAGCGGGCAGCGTCACGAAACTGACATCACTGCGTTGAATGTGATACAGACGATTTCAAATACGTTTTAGCCAAGGTCGCGCATATACGTAACGAACAGAACACGTACACATATACATACCTCTCTATGGCCGTGCTACGCATGCGCGAAATGGCTAAACTGTTGGCAAATACCGTAGTGACACTTCGGTCAATCGCAGAGATAAGTATACTTTTAACGGATAAGGTTCTGTCATTACTATTATCACAATGACAGACTCTCAGAGTTGCAATAGTGTTGCACATAACTTGACAATCGAGCAAAAGGAATATGCAGCAAAAGTTTTAAATGAGTCCGACGAGAATAGAGAAAACGCTGTCGCGGAGATTAGACATTGGATTCAAGAGAACGATTTACGCGCACGAACTGGTAAAAAAATAGCAGTCTTTTTATGTTAGAGATTCTAAGATATTTTTGAATAACGTTTAATTACGATCCATTAATTCTAGAGCATTAAAATAAAGTTATTATGAACTATGATTAACACATTAACACGGATTAGCGTATGTGGGATTATGTTTAACAAATGTTAAACTTATTGAATTCGTTTCTTTTATTGAATGAAAAGTGTGTTTTAACTGAGATGCGATAAATTCTTACATGTTGTCATTATAAAAAGATAATTTGAAAATTTTGATTAAAATAGAATATTAAGATTGTCACACAAAACAAGAATGCAAAATTACGTTACAACGATAAAATTTAATATAAGTGCATTTCTCTTAAATCATTCTCTTCAATAGCATTAGCTGTAACATACATCATGCGCACGTATCTTTTTGCGTTATGTGATTAATGCACAATTTTTTTATGTTGTCATACTTGATAGTGTTATTTTACAATGTGCTTGAAATTGAGATTCTATTCAACCGCTATGATATAAACTAACTAAAATAAAAAAGTATATTGAATAGATTATGTTATAAATCACAGTAAGATTTCTATTGAGAGAAAGCATTGTCTGTGCAATATGCTTTTTTCACGTTTTTTTACTTTACATCATAACAATTAAAAATCAATAATTAAGAATAAGATTCTCGTAATTCCAAGTACATGTTGTAAAACAACTTATTAAGTACGATAAAAATAAAATTATTTATTAATCATTAGCTAATTGCAGTTTATAGATACATATTTGATATCGTGATACACTGCAAGGAAATAAAAATTAAATTATTAAATGTACATATAATAACATTTACACTTTCTCTGTCTCTCTTTTAAATATAGTACATTAAAAGAAATTTAGTAATACATTTTTTATTAAAAAAAATTATTTGAAAAATTTTCCGTTTTCAAAATTCTAACCCTTTAGACATATGCCTATATAATTTATTCATTAATGTGTCGTTTTTCCTTTGAGAGAAAACGTTAATTTATATACAGATGACTTCTCCATTTTGCGATTTTTGAGAGCCTGTAAATTTAACATTGAGAATACTAAGACCAAGTTGCGAAATTATCAAAAGCAGCGAGTTAAACTACCGGAGTGGTACGCGAATAGGGATCCGCTACATCCGAAACTACAGGAATTGCTCGATATGGGGTATATAACAACAATTATCCCAAAATATAATTATGAGAAAGTTTATGAAGTTTTTCTATCAAATATATTTCTATAAAAACATTTTTTACAAACTCGCTAAAAACGAGTCTACATGTAAATATTTGTATCTCGGTTAATCTACAAATAAATAAATAAATTTTACTATTTCGTACTATTGTACTTGTAGATAAACAACGTATATTTCAGACGAAGATGACTGACTATGAAACTTCACGGTTTTCGCACTTTCATAATAATCATTATCAATTTATTTCGTAATGATTTACTTGCAAAATGTTTACCACAGTGTACATTTATTTATAATTATGACCTGTTTTGATGTTATTTAATTGTAATAATTTATATTCTTAAATTATAAATAGAGTTTAAACATTAATTCCGAGCTAAATTCTTAATAAATTATATTCCTAACAAATATTCCTAATAAATTATTAAATCGTCAGAGTTTATGAAATCTCAAAATTTTGCATCATTTTTTACGACAGACGTATGTCTTAACCGTAGTTTTATTCTTAATGATCAATTCTTGGATGATTTTTTATTTAATATCTTTTTCACACATACACATTTCTATGACATTATAATTTTATTAATATATAATTACTTTTAAATATATATTTATCGAAAACTTAGTTTATTTTGATGGTTAATAATTCATTTTGATGGATACAATAGTTTATTTTTTTAGTTTAACTGTAAATACAACATTCTAGATATATATATTTGCCGTAAAATTAAATATAAACATTTTTAAAAGATTTTGAAATATTTTGTTTACGTTTAGAATTTGTTTGCCTTTGCGAAAGTTGGATGATCAAGGAAGAATGGTTATCATCGCGCGTCTTGTGCATAATCCAGACATATTTACATTATCAGACGCACTTAAGGTATTAATAGCCTAACGACAAGTGTCACAAAAGTTATATTAATTGAAATTGGTTCTTTCTATTTGTTTATATTTTTCGACGGATGATTTTTTAGGTCTCATCTATGGTCTTAGATGTGGCCATAAGAGACAGCGTTGAAGCATCCTTGTACGGTTTCGTAATAATTATAGATTTGGGACAAGCAACTTTACATCATTTTGTTCAAGCGCAACCTCGCATTTTAATGAACATGATCCACGCGTGGCAGGGTTGCTACCCTCTAAGAATTAAGTTGCTCAACTATATTAACGTGTCGGTAATTGCTAAAACAGTTATGATGTTTACCAGATATTTTTTGAGCGATAAATTGAATCAAAGATTGCACATCTACGCGCGCAAGACAACGCATGATTGTTTTTTAAATATGCCAGCTAATATCTTACCTGTTGAATATGGTGGCACTGATGGTACAACTCAAGAATTAACAGGTAATTTGTGTACAATAAAGGATTTTGTTTAACAACAATTGCAAAAAAAATAGCGTCACTTTTTTATATATAGAATTACAGTATTACAAATCATTATTTAAGCATTTTTTGCGGCTGGTAACGATATAAGAATATTGAATATATATGTATACATCTATATATGAGTCATTTTTGTTATGTAATATGGTCTCTTACATTTGCAGAATATTGGAAAAAAGTGATCGAAGAGAATCGCGACTGGCTTATCGATGATGAAAAATATAAACCAGTTTTATAAAAATATTTACAATTTTGTGAATTAATGTATTTTTGCTTAATTGTGCACCTTTATTTTTTATGATAAGCTTGTTTCTACTCTTGATCTTGATGTTGATTTGTAATTTATTAAATCAAGAGATATAATAGTGTCTTTTATTAAAATACGTTGACATAAACATTCAGTTGTATATTGACTTTTATAGTGAATGTAATAACTTTAATACTGAAATATGGTAATAAAATAATAGAATAATATTAATATAAAATAATTAATTAATATTAATATATTATATAAACTGTTTAATTTCTGTAATTTTATGATATCAATATATTCAATATAATTGATAATATATTATTTTATTTGTATATATACACTTGATCCGAAAATTATTAAACAAATTGAAAAGCCGCTTTATTTATTACTTATATAACAAGTTAAGATAAGATATGAACTTTTACGGAAATTAATCGTGTATGGATACCAGGTTATACACATACAACGATAATCTCATATATATGTAGTGATAACTTATAGATTCATAGCACTACTTGTACTTTCAAATTATATCTGATTTCTTGAACATTTGAAATAAAGTATATAATGATTTTTTTTATGTGTATAAAATGTCTCAAAAAATGTTTAACATATGAAAATGTCATTAAAATATTTTTTGAGGCAAATATATATTTTTTTGAAGGATAATATAAAATATCTCAAATAAAAGATATTTCCGAAAATATTGCCAAAAGAAAAAATGCGTGTTTTTAACAAAGAATACGTATCGTAAAAATAGTTTTGTTTTATATCTTACATAAAGTACTGTGGTCTACATATATATCTTGCGTAAGCGCATGAATTAATTCGAACAATAAAATAAAATAATAACAGCAATAGGCTCAGAGTACTGGCAATTAAGTCAGTATCAAGCCCTTAGCTCTTATTTGCTAGTTTTCTCACTTAATTGATAAAATAAAAATAGATGAATATCAGGAACGCTTTTAATACGTTGCTCAAGTTGATTACGATTCTTCTAATATACATATACGTTCTTAAGAAATAATAAAAATATGAATGATACGTGTAGACTTTTTCCAAACTTTTTTACAGTCTTACTTGATAAATATGCCGATAACATACTTGATTATTACTGCGTTTAAATAAAGAAGGTTAAGATGATGTAAAGCACTGAATATATTATAATACAAACGAGCATAAATGCGTATTTCCACGTTCTAGCCTCGCGAATATGTATAGCGAATAGATAGCAACACATATATACATATACGTCATTATCACTGCACTATGCATGGGCAAAATACAAGATTTGTTTGATAAATAATGCAATAGACTTGGATCAATCGTAGATGCGAGGGTCTTTTCAGTAGATAAAGTTCCGTGGTTGCTCTATCGTCACGATGACGGACTCTCAGAGTTACGACAGTGCTGTACATAATTTGACAATCGAACAAAAGGAATATGCAGCAAAAGTTTTAAATGAGACCGACGAGAATAGAGAAAACGCTATAGCGGAGATTAAACGTTGGATTCAAGAGAACGACTTACGCGCCCGAACTGGTAAAAAATAATAGTATTTTTATGTTAGAGATTCTGAGATATTTTTGAATAACGTTTAATTACGAGCTATTAATTCCAGAACATAAAAATAAAGATATTATTGATTAGCATTAACACATTAACACGGATTAACGTAATGTGGGATTATGTTTAACAGATGTTAAACTTATTGAATTCATTTCTTTTACTGAATGAAAAAATGTGTTTTTACTGAGAAAGAGGTGCGATAAATTCTTACATGTAGTCATTATAAAAAGATAATTTGAAAATTTTGATTAAAATAGAATATTAAGATTGTCACATGGAACAAAAATACAAAATTACGTTACACAAATGATGTAAAGAAAAAGAGTATATTAAACAGATAATGCTAATTCTCGATGCAACATTAGTATTAACATTATCATAGTTAAAAAGAAATTTGGTAATTTCAAATACGCTGTAAAACAACATCAGAAAATTATTTATTAAAAATTAGCTATTTGCAGTTTACAGAGATATATATTTGATATCGTGATATTGCAAGGAGATAAATATTTTTTAAATTATTAAATGTACAAATAAGAACTTTTACTCTTTTTCTGTCTCTCTCTTAAATATATTACAATGAAAGAAATTTAGTAATATATTTTTTATTAAAAAAAAAATGTTTGAAACATTTTTTGTCTTCAAAATTTTACCGCTCTAGACACATGCCTATATAATTTATTCATTATTGTATCAATTGTGGTTTTTTCTTTGAGAGAAAACATTAATTTACAGATGACTTCTCCATTTTGCGATTTCTGAGAGTCTGTAAATTTGACATCGAGAATACTAAGACCAAGTTGCGAAATTATCAAAAGCAGCGAGTTAAACTACCGGAGTGGTATGCGAATAGGGATCCGCTACATCCGAAACTACAGGCATTGCTCGATGTGGGGTATATAACAACAATTATCCCAAAATATAATTATGAGAGTGCGAAAGTTTACGAAATTTTTCTATCAAATATATTTCCATAAAAATATTTTTTACAGACTCGCTAAAAACTAGTCTACATGTAAATATTTGTATCTCAGTTAATCTACAAATAAATAAATAAACTTTACTATTTTATACTGTTGTTCTTGTAGAGAAACAACGCATATTTTAGATGAAAGGTGGCTGACTATGAAACTTCACGGTTTTCGCACTTTCATAATAATCATTATCAATTTATTTTGTAATGATTTACTTGCAAAACGCTTACCACAGTGTGCATTTATTTATAATTGTAACTTATTCTGATGTTATTTAATTGTAATAATTTATATTCTTAAATAATAATTATAGTTTAAATAATAATTTCGAGCTAAATTCTTAATAACTAATAAATTATTGGACCCTTAGAGTTTATATGAATTCTCGAAATTTTGCATTAATTTTGTATTATAGAAGAATGTCCCAACCGTAATTTTATCCTTAATGTTCAATTCTTAGATGATTTTGAAGTCGATTTTTTATTTAATATCTTTTTCACATACGTACATATTTCTATGATATTATAATTTTATTAATATATAATTACTTTTAAATATATATTTATCGAAAACTTACTTTATTATGATGGTTAATAATTCATTTTGATGGATACAATAGTTTATTTTTTTAGTTTAACTGTAAATACAACATTCTAGATATATATATTTGCCGTAAAATTAAATATAAACATTTTTAAAAGATTTTGAAATATTTTGTTTACGTTTAGAATTTGTTTACCTTTGCGAAAGTTGGATGATCAAGGAAGAATGGTTATCATCGGGCGCCTTATGCATAATCCAAACATATTTACATTATCAGACGCACTTAAGGTATTAATAGCCTAATGACCAGTGTCACAAAAGTTATATTAATTTAAATTGGTTCTTTCTGTTTGTTTATATTTTTCGACGGGTGATTTTTTAGGTCTCATCTATGGTCTTAGATGTGGCTATAAGAGACAGCGTTGAAGCATCCTTGTACGGTTTCGTAATAATTATAGAGTTAGGACACGCAACTTTGCATTATATCGCTCAAGTGACACCTCGCATTATAATAAATCTAATCCACGCATGGCAGGGTTGTTACCCCGTAAGAATTCAATTGCTTAACTATATTAATACGCCAGAATTTACTAAACAAATTATAGCAATTACCGAGCGATACTTCTTGAGCAAAAAACTCAAACAAAGATTGCGTATCTACACGTATAGCACGACGCGCAATTGTTTTATAAATATGCCAGCTAATATCTTACCTGTTGAATATGGTTTAATTTTTATGATAAGCTTGTTTCATCCATCTTAATCTCGATTTGTAATTTATACAACGAGAATCACCATCTGAAAACTTATAAATATATTTACACCGAATTTCTCTAAGAATATCGGACCGTTTGTTACGAGAAATCACTACAAATGGAAAGTCAACTTTCTTCTCATTTTATATTAAATCAAGAGGTACAATAGTGTTTCTTATTAAAATACGTTTACATAAGCATTCAAATATAAAATTGTATGTTGAATTTTATTGTGGATGTAATAACTTTAATTCCGAAATATAGTAATAAAATAATTAAATTATATATTGTGCATTATATTATTTTACATAATTTGCCGCAATATATATATATATATATTTTCTTTTCTGATATTATTTTTATTGGAGAACGAGATTCAAGCAATAAAATATATACTATTTTTATTACATATGATATATCGAAACACGCCAAAAATAATTTTTGCTCGGATTTTGACAAGAATCATAATTGTCCAAAGAAACTTTGCCAAAAAGAAAAAATGCATATTTTTTATAAATAATACGTTTCGTAAGAATAATATGGATCTGTATCTTACATAGGATATTATGTTCCACATATACATATATCTTACGTAAGCGCATAAATTATTTCAAACGATAAAATAAAAATAGATAAATGTCAGGAACGCTTCTTATACCTTGCTCAATTTGATTATGATTCTTCTAATATGTGTGTATGTTCTAAAGAAATCATGAATATACATCACACACACACACACACACACACACACACACACACACACACACACACACAGATAGACTTTTTTTAACGGTTACTGTTCTACGCGTCGGTAAATATGCCGATAACATAATCGATTAGTATTGTATTTGACCGAAGGTGATTAAGATGACAAAGCGCTGAGTATGATACGAACAAAATAAACGCGTATTTCCGCGTTTTAATCAAGGTCGCAAACACGCGTAGCGAACAGATAGCAACATATATACTATATATCTCGCTGTCGCTGTACGCATGCGCGAATTAGCTAGCACGGGATTTGTTTGACAAATAACGAAGTACACTTCGGTCAATCGTAGTTGCGAGTGTCTTCTCAGTAGACAAAGTTCTGTGCTTAATTTTAATTTGACAGTCGAGCAAAAAGAATATGCAGCGAAAGTTTTAAATGAGACCGACGAGAATAGAAAAAACGCTATAGCGGAGATTAAACGTTGGATTCAAGAGAGTGATTTGCGGGCACGAACTGGTAATAATGACAGTATTAGAATGGTAGCACTAAATATTGTTGAACCACATTAAATTATTGAATGTTATTTGTTGATGGTTGATTAATTTCATAGCATGAAAATAAAATTATTGTAATATATTAGTTTCAACATTAGGATGAATTAACATAATATGAAGTTACGTTTAACAATATTAATCTCATTGAATTTGTCTTTGTACCAAATAAAAAAGTGAGTGTTTATTTTCATTGTTGTTTATTAAATTTTATTATTTCCTACACTAAGTAACTCTCTTTTTTACAAATTCCATAAATATTCTATAAATTTTATTCTATAAACATAAATATGTAATAGTCTAAGTCTAAATATAAATATAACAAAATATACAATTTTAAAATGATATATGTATTAATATTCCATTTTAATACACAAAAATTTATTATTTTTATTCTCCAAAAAGAAAAAAGAATGGAAATTAATTTTTATGTATCTGCGTCGATTGCAAGATTGAAATAGAATTTACAGATTGTATTATCTAAAACAAGACTTCAAAATTACGTTACGTATCAATAGTTGCTATTTAAGATAATTGTTGATAAATGCGTATAATAAATACTACTTAATAAATACGTTATGTAAGTTTAAAGTCTTTTATACATTATGCACTTTGCATCATAGTTGCTGAGTAAGAATCACGTAATTTCAAATACATTGCAAGCCAATGTAAAAAGAGATTTTCCTGTAAACAGATGATAAAATTTTATATCGAGAGATATCAAGATATCAACTCTTGTACAATCTATATGTGTGTGTGCGTACATATGTGTGCCTGCGTGCGTGCGTGTGCGCGCGTGTGTTTGTGTATATTTATTTTTTTGTGTGTGTATTATATATATATATATATATATATTGACATCTTTCACTGCAAAATTATATTAGCTGTTTGCAGTTTATGAGCACATATTTGATATCGTAATATGGCAAAGATTAAAATTTTATCATTAAATGTTTACATAATAATTTTTATTCTTTTCCTTTTTCTCTCTTTTAAACATGATATAATAAAAAAAAAAAGATTCGTTAATATATTTTCTAAAAAAGATTATTGGAAAAATTATTTTTTATCTAAAGTTTTACCGCTTTAAACACATCCCTTATAATATATGGGTGGAGTTCCGAAAAGGGTCCGTCTCCGATTTTGATGAAACTTTGTGAAAAGCTTCCTTTTGGATTGAACTGAAAGATCCTAAAAGGAATTTTGGCGATTCCTACAAGAAAGTCATTTTTTAAGAGAAAATGGTACTGAATCGATAACTATTTACATTAGCGGATTTACATTTATACTTTGCCGATGACCTTGACTTTCACATATGTTGTAAGATGAGGTTGCTGATTAATATTCACTTTGTTTTATTTGGCGGTCTTGCATAGTTTTTGAGATATTTAACGAAAAAG